TGCCTTAAAAACTATGGTAAACGGAAAATCCCCCAGAACAGATGGACTACCTTGCGAATTTTTTAAAATATTTTGGAAATCCCTTGGTGAACACTTCCATAACGTAATTAACTCTTGCTTTGATCATAAATCCCTTACCCCCTCTCACAGAATTGCTTTGATTTCTTGCCTCTTGAAAAAAGGCGACAGAGAAAACATTAAAAACTGGCGCCCCCTTAGCCTCTTAAATTGTGATTACAAAATAATAGCCAAAGTTCTAGCAAATCGCCTTTCAAAAGTTCTAACTAGCATTATAGCAGAAGACATAACTTGCTCTGTTTCCGGCCGCTCAATTTTAAGCAATTGCCATGCTTTACAAGATATTATTCAATTTTCCGAAGAGAAAATTTCTCCCGTTGGCTCTACTTTCTATTGATCAAATGAAAGCCTTTGATCGAGTAAATTGGAACTTTCTCCATAAAACACTTGAAAAATTCAATTTCCGTCCTGTTTTTATTAGCTGGCTAAAACTTCTATGCACTAACATTGGAAGCAAAGTTAAATGTAACGATTTTATTTCTGACTCTTTCACTCCTAGGAGAGGTGTCAGACAAGGTTGCCCTCTCTCTGCCCTTTTTTATGTTCTCATTGCTGAGGTGTTTGCTGGAAATGTCCGCAATTAAGGGTGTTACTGTCAGTAAAACTGAATTTAAAATAATACGCAGACAATCTACCCTCCTTCTTCAAGATAACCAATCTTTACTCACAATTGAAAATCACATCGCAAACTACGAAAAAGCCTCTCGAGCCAAAATAACCAAAGGTAGAAGTGAAGGCATCTGGTTTGGTAGCTTTAAAAACTGCCTTAATTCACCTCTAGGTTTTAAGTGGAAAAAGAAATCCCTCAAAAGCCTTGGCCTCTATTTCGGTACTGAAGACACAAATAAACTGAACTTTTTGCTATAAATATAAATATAAACTGAACCTAAAGTTTCTAAATTTATAAAAACATAAGATCTTTGGAAGTCGCGTGACTTGACCTTTAGGGGGAAGGCCGTTGTCATTAATCAGCTTGCAAGCTCTGCACTTTGGTATACGGCTTCGGTTTTCCCCATATCCCAATAGGCAGTCAAACAACTTAATGGAAAACTTTGGCATTTCTTTTTAATGGCAAACGACCCCCAATCCCTAGATCACAAGCTAAACTTCCTTATCAAGACGGCGGCCTCAATGTTCTTGATATAGAGAAAAAATGTAACAGCCTCCTTTTATCATTGCGAGCCAAACTCATTGCCCCCAAACAAACAGGCAAATGGAAAGTTCTCTTCAACCATCTCGGGAAATACACAAACTACCTTCTTTCTATAAACAGACCCTCTGTGCGTATATCGCTATTACTAATGACCACAATAGATCTTAAGAGAACATGTTTGAAATATTTAACGAACCCCTCTTTCTAAAGCGTAAAATCGCGAAAAATATTATATCTCTCAACCTCTACTGGGTAGATGCAGGAATTACCTTATTACGAGATATTACCTAGGAGTTTTCCCCTGGTTTTCTCCCTGAACCCGCTAATAATGAGTTAGTTGTAGTAAATTCAAGCCTAAAGACCTTTCTTTCATTTTATCTTTTCTTTCCTTTGAATAGAAAAATTTCATTCGTTCCAATTCTGCTCAAAAAGATCACTTTTCTACTAATTTCACTCTGCCTATTCAAGACATTAAAAAGCCGCTTTGTAAATTAACTTCTAAAGACTTTTATCTCACATCTCTTATGCCCTCTACTGATGTTTCTTCACAGAAGTTACGTGTTTATTGGGAAAAGAAGTTCTCAAATCTCGACTGGAAATTTATATTAAATTCAATATTTACTAGAGATTCCGACCGAAAATCTTGCGACCTGCAATAGAAAATAATCCAACTCGCTATTCCCAGTGCCAATCGTTTAGCCAGGCACAAAATTATTGACAATACTTCTTGCCCCCGCTGTAATAACCATAACGAAACTACGGTACATATTTTTATGCATTGCCCTCTAGTTTCGCCTCTGTGGGACACGGTTCTTTTCCATAATAAAAATCTTGAATTAGACTTAAATTTAGTTTCTTTAGAACAATTTATTGTCATCGGTTTTGCTAACATTAAAATTTCACCTATTCACTCGCCCACAATTGCCCTCCGATATAGCTCTCCTTGCAATTTGGTCTTCTAGAAACAAACTCGTTTTTGACAATGAATCTATCAACCCCTCTAAAATTTTTACTACTAAACTCCGCTCGAAATTAAAAGAGGAGTTTTTTCTCGCTAAATCCTCATTCGCTGGTCTTTTTAATTTAAAAACCACTTGATGCTGTAACAATGTTTTCGCTTCGGTTGTTGATGATAAACTTTTTATGCATTGTTAACCCCCTGATAAGTATAGCACGATCGCTCTCTTCAACATCTGAGCAATATCGTGCTCAGTGTTTCTGAGACACTGGAGATTAACACCTCTATTGGATGACACTTGAGCATGATAATCCTCCCCACTGTTCACACAAAAATCGGATACCTCCCTTTGTTATTAATTTGGCTGTCTGGCTCTCGCAAACAAAAATTTTTGGCTCTCGTAAATTTTTGGACTGGTTTACATTTTACTTATATCAATAATATTAATTTATAAATAATACTTTCTCACGCGTATGTATATTATATACTTTAACAATAATGTCACTTATAATTGTAGATCATTTAAATTTCTAACTCACATTACTACTGTTTTCTATAGACCCCTAACTAATGTTTACATTTGAAAGCGAGGCAAAACATGCGCGCGCATGCTGTGAGGCAAAACATCTGATGTTTGTTTGAGGAAAGGAAACCATCGTTACGTACCGCAGTTGATCTGATTTCGTTTTGTGTTCTATAAAGTTTTATTCAAAAATGGTTAGAAGTTGCTGTGCTGTGGGATGTGCTAACCGTCAAGAGGGTGAAAAGAAGAATTTAACCTTTTATCGCATTCCAAAAGGGCGAACACCGATCGAAAAACGACGGCGACAAGATTGGTTGAGAGCGATTAGGAGGGATGACTGGAGGACTTGGAGTGATGAAAAGATTTCGAAAGCGTTTATCTGTGCGGAGCATTTTATTTCAGGTGAGTTTCTGAATTTTTGGCGTTTTCGATCATCTTTTTTTGCATAAATTCTGTAAAGTAGCTGCTTCGTTGTTGTGAGAACAAACAGTCCATTTGTTCTTCGTATTTTCATACATAAAGATCAATAAATAATACAAAGTCATTTGGAAGTGATTCTAGTTATGGAAGGAAGAACTTCTACTGGCACTGCAGTGACAATACCAATAGTTAACAAACATATGTTTGGTATTTTTTAAACCTTTTCTCAAATGGCATAAATCTTACTTTTTGGACTTTCAGGGAAAAGGAGTGACAACCCTGATGATGCAAACTGGATTCCAACAATTTTCCAGCATTCTACTGCCAAAGAGATTGCTAGAGTAGAAAATAAAATTGAAAAGAAAGCCAGGTATGAGGTGCTAAGGAAAAAGAGAGTAGGTGCACAGGCTCAATGGATGGTCACAAATAAAACCAACACAGAGGCCACACATTCTTCAAGCAGTGATGATGGAGGAGAGAGCAGGATGTGTGATGCTTATACCCAGTTTGATCCCACTGACACCAACAAAGAGATCACAGTCCTTAAAGATAAAATATCTTTGCTAGATAAGGAGTTGAGGGCCAAGAATGCTGAGCTTTGTAAACTAAGAGAGGAAAACAGAAAGCTTAAAATGAGAAAATTTCATTTGAGTCTCTCAAGGGATCAAAGGAAAAACTTAATTTTTATATAGGTATCCCAGCACTATCTCTTTTTCTTTGGATTCTGGACGTTATTAAAGGAAAAATAAAAAAATGTAGTGCAAATTTGCCGGTAGAGGATCACCTTTTGATAGTTTTAATGAAGTTGAGGTTGGGTTTGCTTAACAAGGACCTAGCATACAGATTTGGACATGAAGAAACTGTTATTTCAAAAATTTATCGTGTTTGGCTGCCAGGATTATCAAAATGCCTCAAGAAGTTGATTGTGTGGCCAAGCAAAATGGAAATCATGCAGAATTTGCTCCATTCCTTTAGAAGGAAATATCGTGACTGCATTTGCATTATTGACTGCAGTGAGGTATTTATTGAAAGGCCAAAGAATCTGACTGCTAGAGCCCAGACTTGGTCAAATTACAAAAACAACAATACAATTAAATACCTCATTGGGATCAGTCCTGCTGGTGCAGTCACATTTCTTTCTGAAGGACGGGGGGGAAGAGTTTCTGACAAACAAATAACCCTAGACAGTGGATTTTTAAATAAAGTTCACAGTGGTGACTGCATTTTGGCTGACAGAGGGTTCTTGATAGAAGATGATTTGCATAAAAAAGGAGCATACCTAAAAATTCCAAAATTCACAAAAGGAAAAAAACAGCTACCAGCAACCAATGTTCAGACATGCCGCCAGTTTTCAAATGTCAGGATTCACGTTGAGCGAGTAATTGGGCAGTTGAAGAAATTCAGAATCCTACAGAGTACCATTCCTATATCCCAGGTGGACCTATTAAATGACGTTATGGTAGTTGTAGCAGCAATAGTAAATTTAAATAAAAGTGTTGTCAGGATGTATTAAGTAATGTCAAAACATGTTTTTTCCGAGATATGATTTAGAAAAATTCAGCAAGGATTAACTCACAGTTTCTTTATTAGGGATGCAATCAGTAGGAAGTTTTACCCTCCAAATTAAAAACCAATAAAATTAGATTTAAACTTTCATTTAAATTAGACTAAGGGAAACTTAACTAAGATACACTTCTTACTTGACAGTGATTTTATCCAGGTTACGCATTTTATAAGATGCTTACATGATTTGATCAATCAAAATCAGTTAAAAATTTGAAACTTAAAAACCTTCACAATTAACTTGAGCATAATCATGATTAATGAGCACAATGAAGATATCAGTTTTTCCATTTTTTATTGTAAATTCATGCACAGTTTTGACAAACCCATCCATTGCGTGGGGCTCTTTTTATATTTACACAGCTGTAATGATATCTTCCTATTTCACATGACTGATTTTTGCATGTTATCATATTACCAAATTCTGGTCCTCTACATATACAGAAAAGTTTTCGATCATGTTTGTGTCCTGTGTCTAGTTTTCTTGATACTACTTCTGGCAAAATAGTATGTAGAAATTTATTAAAAAGAGTGTTTTTGAGCTCTTCCATAAAGGTTTTGTTTTTTATAGTTAAACACAGCATGGCCTCATCCACCCCTGCAGAGAAAACATAAAAATATCCAAAGTCAACACCAGCTAGCTCCATCTGTAATTGAATTTGATAGTAGTAGCGATGATTTTCCCTCATTTTGTACTCAGGATCAATAGGAAACTTATTATCTTCAGCCCATCCTTCAAAGCTGTCCTTATAATTGTAAGGGCATTTTATTTCCAGCACTCCCCTTCCATGACAATCACAGCTCACAATTCCATCAGGAGAAGCACCTAAATATGGTATTTCAGCATTAATCAACAGTCCAGCTTGCTCAACTTTGAAATTTGTATGCTTCATACCTTCCTCTTTTTCAAATTTTTCTCGTGCAACAGGTTCCATCTGCTTTCCATGGGCTGTGTATTTTGAGGAAAAGCCTGGCCTGTATTGCATAATCGTTTCAATAAGGGATTGACTGTCCCTCATTCTGGCAACATTCTTCACTGTCGAGCCTGTTATTCTTCCAGCTCTATGCAACATCCATTCTTTTTTTGCACTCTGATCTTTGGTTTTCCAAAAAAGATTGTCATAGGACTTCTGAAAGTTCCTTTCACGATATTCAGTATACAACTTTCTTCCATGCACTTGTAGGTCCTCATCTGTCATATTAATAGCTGTAGGGTCAAAAAGACTTGTTAGTGGTTCCGGTAATGTGTAAGCGCTGTTTTCTATATCAGTGTCTGTCTCACTACCAGAACCAGATATCATTTGTGCATCTTTTTCAGAAGACTGAGCCTCATTGTCCAGAATGTCATACAATGGCAAACTAGTAAACACAGCTGCTTTTGGGTATATTTTATGAAGTTTTTTTAGCATATGCACAGAAATGGCATCTTCTCCAACTGTTGGGTCCAAACAGCTATAGTTCTTGTATTCTGTAATATTTGTCTGAGGCTTTGGCAATGTCTTCTTTCTTGGTTGGCTAAAGTCAATAGAAGAGAGAGGAGCAGGTATGACATGTTTCTTTGAAGATTTCCATGCACATAACAGGCTTGTTGATGCTGTTGGCTGGTTCAAACGGAAATGGGCTGCAGCTTCAAGTTTAAACAAAAGAGCAGCTATAAGACTGCAAGCTGATCCTAGCCCAGCCATACATGTGCAATTTGCTGTTAAGATCCAGCCATGCAACTTGTTTAGACAAACCCAGACATTGTACATTGATGTCTTTTTGCCTTGCCTCTGGCTAGGTAATACCTAAAATAAAAGCCATTTCATAATGGGTGATGTGCACCAAACAGTTTCAAGATATCAAAGAATAAATGTATCTTTAAACAGGAGTTTGAGACTAAAATTAATACCAAACTTGAAAATGCAGATTTGTGTATTTCTTTACTGAAGATGTTTACAAAGTTTGGTTTTTGTGTGTTTTATAATCAAGTAGTTTATAATCATTTATTGCCATCTTTTGTAGATTCGCTGCACATAGACCTACCAATAGTTTCAATTTCCTAATCATTAATTATCACAATAAACAAGCTGAGAAAATTAAAATAAGAACATACCTCAGATTTAACGAAACAGAACTCTGAAGCATCTGATATTTTGTGGTAAAAACAGTCCTGTACATGTTTGCACACAAAGTAGTCATAGGCTTCAAGTGATTTGTAGGCTTTCATTGACTCTTTGCTGAAGTTGCTGGGTGAATCAATTAGGTACTCAGTAACATCTCTCCAAGAGAGCTCCGGTAGGTTAGCGATATCATTGCTCCATTCACTTTGAAGTATGTATCGATCTGGAATTGCTTCGCCGCTGCTGAGAGTGAGTTTCGCTCTGTAGTTAGCCTTCTCAGTTGCATCTAAACTTTCGTAATAATTCGAAGTCATTTTCATTCGATATCGAATTTCTTCTTAAACTTCAAAGATGCTGTATCAATTTATAGGATTGAAACCGCATGGTACCTGGTGGAAACAGCCGGCAAACACTGCGTGGATAGGGAAAACAGCTGTCCTATACAAGGCGGACGCCATGCTTCAATTTTTTTGCAGCACAGGATGCGCGCGCATTTTGTTAACATCTTTGTTCTACGTCACGGTGCAAGGGGTCTATATGTTGCTTCTTCTCAAGGTGCAAACAATCCATTTACAGCCCCAGGACATTATTGTTCGATAAAGACATCCCCATTTTTGCAACTGGAAAAGAACCAATACAGTATCCTGGCCATTACAACAGCACCAATGAACAGGAGAATGAAATGATTGAATGTGGGTGGGGATACTTAAATTTTCACTGACAAATTGAGGAAAGAGACAGAAGAGTAATTTCTAAATGCAAACGCTGCTTTGCAGAACTGTTAATGCTTGGCTCAGATACCTAGAAACTGTCAAGCAACTCTTTGAAAGTTGATAACTTTCAATTGGTTATTCCTTAACTTAGTTAGTAGGTATTGATTACTTTCTAACTTTTTTATATTGAATACTTTCATACATGAAAATTTAAATGATAATACCATTACATAGATAGGCTTTGATTAATATTTCGAGTTTCACTTATAGTTGTTTGTTCATTGGCACATTCCCATTGAGTATTGCAGGCCCATGTTAAATTAAAATGCGTGTGTCACTTGTGTTTGGTGACGGTTCTTAACGTAACAAAAAAATTTGGTTAACCATCTGTGAATCGCTGGTGAACCATTAATGAAGCGTTGGTAGTTTCTCTTTTATTTGTGAGACACGCAACTTCCACCTTATTTTGGGTAAAACTTGATTATCTTTTGCAAAGCAGCCATTTATGAAGTTTGGTTTTGAACAGAGGCAGTTTAATTTCAGACAGAATAATAATTTCATACAATAAACTGTTACAGATCAAAATATACACTTTATATACATTTAATGCCCTTAACAGTTGTCAATCCTCTATCATTGTTCAGAAATTTTATTCTGAACAAAAGCAGAGTAAAACCAAGTTCATCACTTTTTTCACAGGCGCCAACAAATTCTTACGTCACATAGGAAAAAACGTGAATTGTTCTCAGAAACATAATTATTAGCAGAAAATGAATATGAATAATGATTTGGAGTATATTGAAGTGCAGCACATTACAGAAAAATAAATGCAGTTTAATAAAATACTCTCATCTTTTATAAGAAACCATCTTAGACAGTGTGTACCCCCAGTTCCTTAAGGTTTACAAAATGTTAGAACATTTAGAAAGTTTTTAGAATATTTCTATTTTATTTTCAAAAACAAGAGCCTCAATACTTTAAATTTGGTTTGCTAATCACTGTGTATTTTTATTCTTTTTGTAATTTTGTAGTGCAGGTAAGTTTAGTCAAAATTAGCAATAGAAAAATCACGAAATCTTGATTTTCGGTTATTCTCAATCTAAATAAGTTGTTTTTAGCTAGAGTATTGGGGTTTCTTAACCTTTTCTCATTTTCGAGTACTGGTTTCATACAGATGCTTTCTTATAAAAAAGAGTTCAGTGGAAAATAATGTTGCTATTAGGAAAAAATTAAATTTGTTATCATCAAAGTATCCAAATAGTTTTTGTTTATCTAAAACAGTAAAGGACTTTTTAGAGCATTTGTCCTGTTCAGATTCAAACGAAATATTTGAATGTGTTCTGGAATTTGTTCTTTGGCCAGGCGAGGAAGAAGGGCTGCCACGTGAATTGTATTCATTGCTTGATTGTTGTAGTTGAAATGGTTGCAATGGAGGATAGGCAACAGTTGGCTGTTGTATCTGTGTTTGTTGACCATGTTTCAACTGCACAAGCTGACGTTGTATAGCCATGTCTTTTGCAAAGCCTTCTAGGATTTCTGACAATAGTTTCCACACCATTTCCCCGAATATTTGATCTGCTGTTCTCTTGTGCTGTTTTACGGTTGGCCTTGGTTTTTTCAGTGCATCTATTGCTGTCTCTATTAGCACATTGGTTCACTTAGCTTCTGTCTTTTTTGAGATCTTTGACGAAGGTTTATTTTCGACTTGATATGCATATTGACTGTTTCATCCGCCAGGAAACTGAGAGACTGGAAAAATTGCCATTTGCTTCGGTACATTTCTTCTGCACCTGCACCACTGACTCTGCTCTGGTGGGTCTTGTTTTTCTCTGCCACAAAATAGCTTCTTAGAGAGTTCATCTTTTTTTCCACCTCTTCATATGTTGGCACAGGAAATTTATCTTGCTCTTGTAGGACATCAATTACTTTCTGTATGGTTTTGCATCTCCTGTCTTACAAATGGTACTGAGGATTTTAAATATCGTACAGCACGGGGTGACAGAATAGGAAATATGCAGAAGGAGAACTCTCGGTCAGGACCTTTGAAGTTTGCATGCACAAACCTCAAGTGGTAAGAGTACGTAGAAACAATAGGTTTGCACAATAAACTTGTTTTGATACAGAGCTTTGGGCGAGGGATGGCGACAGTCTTCTTTAGTTGCTGCAAGGAAAAAATTGTAGAAGCCTGGCTCCACTTTAAACATAGGCTACAATATTAAGAAAACTTGTATACTCCTGTGAGGTCAAGGTCTCAGGAAAAAAGACGCAAAAATTCTTTAACACATGAATTTGTTCATTCAATTATTCGACTTAGAATGGAAAAATAATATGGCAGCCAACTCATAGAAAGTTTAAAGGCTATAAAGCAGAAAGTAAAAATTATATACTTCGAGCACGTCAGCATGAAGCAGACAAGGCAGCCATGAAAAGGATGCAACAACAAATGGAAGTAGACAAAAGCTCATCAGAATCGGAAAATGACCTCAGATGAATGTTATTAGAGCATTACACAGTAGACCTTGATGAAGTAGAGAATTACATAAATCGTAAAGAGCACCGAGGTTTGACTGATTTTTTGAAGTTTATAAACATGTATTTGCTTCAGTGTAGTAAACTGTTTTTGAAACTTTCCTGTTTTTATAAATTTTTTTCTTATCCAAATGCTTTCAAAGTTCAAGCCTTTTTAAATTTTCAATTCAGGGATGCATCAGTCTGAATAATTGAGAAAAAGACTGCCCAAATTGGAGAAAGTTTCTGTTGCAAAGCAGACTATAAAACAACACCATAACTCACTTATCAAATTTTTCCTGATCCTTTTTCAAAGAGTAGTTACATTAAGAGAACTTGTTGAAAGACAACTGGTTACATCTTACAACAAGATAGAAATAATATGGTATGAGCAATCTGGTTTCAAATGGACACAAGCACAATACTGTTAGGAACTTTATTGTCACATTTCTTTTTTGTTACATTGGCAAGATCTATTACTTAAAGCAAATCAACTTGATGACAGGCAGCTTAAAGTAGACTTTTGGCTCATTGTGAAGTGTACATGTCAATGATAGGAAAACACTTTAATCAACATTTGTGATAATTTTGTGGTGTAGATATTGGTATACTTTCTAGGAAATTAAAGAGAAGATCATTGGGCTTCTTGGCAATAAATAAAGGTATGATTCCATTGCTTTATATTATTTTACACAAATAAGAAAAAATGCTGATTTTGATAAAGCCACACATTTTAATTGTAAAAATAAAGTTATAATTTAACTTATTTCTACCTCATCTTTGAAACTTTACGATGTGGTGCAATCAATCAATAATGCATAAACAATTATTATTCTAAATTGATGATGGGTTTAAGACGGATTAGAATTATAAAATTTAATATCTTTATTGTATGTTTTGTAGTTGCTGCCCTACGAACAAAAACTGGGGGCCCTAAAGAACAGGGTCGCCCGTGCTTTTAATTTGAAAAGGAGTAAAAACTTCATTATGCTCGACGAGCATAAAAAAAATTATACAAAGTAAGGTAATTGTTATTACATTTTCAACTTTAAGAATGTCAAATAGTGCACATGCTTTCCAAACTCCTCTAGTGGCGTTTCTTGCTTTCTCTATCTGTAGTATTGGGTTATCAATTACTAATACTAAGTCTTTAACTCAATATGTAGTTTTTTCGATGTTTATTATTTCACTTGTTAGTGTGACGAATCTCACTTATAATGACATAGCTAATCTGATGTTGAGTCTTTGATTGAACAAGAAAATCAAAAAAGCAAAGTTTTTCAGATGTGTCTCTTTCCAATATTTATTTTCAGTAATTCTGTCCTTATTTCTATTTAATTTCTTTTTCAGACCAGGGATGACGATATACGTAAAATTAATCAGAAAAGGCAAAGAAGGCAAAGAAAAGGCAAAGAAGGCAAAAAAAAGGCAAAGAAGGCAAAAAAAGGCAAAGAAGGCAAAAAAAAGGCAAAGAAGGGGGAGTCCGGTAGGGACACACACAGGTCTGGCCACTACCATAATTATAGTGGCCAGCACCAAAGTTTTAATATTTATTATAAATAGTTGTAGTTGTTGTTGTTGATATTAGAGTGTTGATATTAGAGTGTTGTTTGGTTTTAGATTGTTGTTAAATTAAAAAAAGGAAAAAATCAATCTGAATGTCTTCTCTCTCTCTGTTAATCTACGTATGCATAAAGACCTGACATGGCTGTTGATAGTTGATTAGATAATTTGTGGCTTTTTGTTAGGCTTGAAAAAAGGGAATCTAAGAGGTTATATTGTGGTTAGTTTTTAGATTAGGCGTGGCTGTGAATTCATTGTTACATGAAAGTAAAAAAAATTAGGACATTCAATAAATTTTTCATAAAGTGTAAATAGCACAACGAAACCAATTGTACCAAATCAAATATATTCCTTGTGGCTTTACTTAATGAAATTATGTTTTCAAGGTGTTTTACATTATTGTTGCCGTTGTTTTTCTAGACCCCCCCCCCCTCAATCACTTTCTGTTTTATTGTCAAAATTTTACTGCCGTAGCTCTTGAACTGTGTACAACAGGTTAAGGACCATGTTACTGCTATGTTTATGAGACCCAGCCCTCCATTAAGTATTTCTAGGCTTTATTCCTATATGAAACTGTATGAAGTATGATAGGGGCCAAAGACTCATCTTGAAGGGATCAGCAAGGGGCATATTCTTGGGTTGTAACTTTCTACATTGGGCATGGCTTTGATGTCATAGTAACGTCATATTCTTCAATTTTAAGGACTTTTGAATTAGTATTTGATTGAATACATATGGCACATCAAAATGAATTACATCAACTGAAAGATCACATAGAAGCGATTCGAATGGTAGTATTGGTTCTTCTGTAGCGCAAAGAGATTAATTGATTATGTTGAATTGATTTTCAAACCTTCATTGATTTCCTTGGTAAATGGAGAGGACATTAATTTCAATCGAACCAATTGAGGGTCTTTGCTAATCTACATCAGGATCAATTATCCCATTGATCAATTGTCTACATCAGGATCAATTATCCCATCATCCAGACAGCACGCAGGTACTTTTCGAATTCGAATTAGCAGGTTAAATTCGACGAGGCCGTTGATGAAGTTTGAGTTTGTCTTGCACAGGGGGTGATTCGATCGTGAGATGGATGCTTATGTGATCATTTTTGATCTAATTGTATTTGGTTTCGAACACGAATTACTACAGGATAAGTTTATTATGCTCAACAAGCATAGAAAAGCTATACAAAATATGGTATTTGTTATTATTTTTATGAGACGGGAAGGGTGCTGCTCTTATCAAATAGTGCTCATGCTTCCAAAAAAACTCTAGTGCCATATCTTGCCCTCTTCATCTGTCTTTTAGAGTTTTTGATTACTATTATGTTGTATATTTGTGTATGTTGTTTAATATTGGAGTGTATTGCATATAGTGAAATTGAAAATTAATGAACTGAACAGGAAATGTGAGTCTTGTAATTAGAATAAGTTACTAGAGATCAATTTTTCGGATGTTTCTCTCTTCAACATTCATTTTCAGTATTTCTGTTTTCAGTTCTCTCTGATTTCTATTTCAGATCAGGATTAACTTTTTTTAAAAATGTTGTAAAGAAGAAAGGCAGAAAAAGAGCACAAAATGCGTACTTTGTTTTTGCAAGAACAATACACCCTGGAAAATTGAAAGAAGCAAAAGAGACCACAACCTAAAAAATATCACTTGCTTCCTGTACTTTTCAGTGTTGACTGTGAGCATACTTAAATTTGATTGAAACTGAGGAAAGACAGAAAAATTAAGTAGAAAAGTTTATAGTAGTTAACTTCACGAGGGATGTTCTAGAATTTGATTTCACTAGTGGGTTCTTATTTTGGCTGATTTGTAACATACTCATTTAAGCGTTGATTGTTTTGTTTCTAAGTTCTTATGAGCTGCATTGATGCTATTGGGTATAACAGGGAAGGAGTTCTGTAGTTTGAGCTTTTCTGTGAAAGTGATGGTCCGTTGGCTTAGATGAGTGTATTTAATTGCTTTGGGTTGGGCTTATCCTGCTTGTATCCTGCAACATTTAGGCCCATAACTTCTGTGATACATAAGGATATTATTGCATCAAACGAAAGATCTTATCGAGACAAATCGATTGGTGGTATTGGTTTTGGGGTTACACCTAGTAATGACGTCACTATGACCGGTTGAAGTTTTGGCACATTTCTGTATAGGTGTAATTGTTCTGACTAGGCCTGATCCCTGTTTTGTGATATGACTTTCCAAGCTTTATTCCCATAACTCGGCAACTATACAGAGTAAATTAGGGGCCAAGGGCTCATTTTCAAGGATTTTACAAATGTAAACTGCTGGTATGAATATTTTCTAGATTAGGTGTGGCTGTGATGTCATTGTGACGTCATAGTTTTAATTTTATTAAATGAAATTAAAAATTAAATGTTTTACATCAAAATTTATTGAATCAAATGAAAGATCTCATGGATGCGATTCGAATGGTGGCATTGGTTCTGGTGTAGCGATAAAGGTTTAATTTTTTAACATTTTGAAATGTTCAAACCTTCACGAATTATCATGTTGCTGTCTGCCCAGTCGTCGGCCTGTCACTGTTTCTCATTTATCTTATTGGTAGAGAAAGGAACAATCAAATTGAGGCGTTATTTGTTCATTTTTTTAAAACTTCATTTTTAAAAAAAGGAATGGAAATTTCTTTTGTTCATATCGATTGTATGCAAATGGTCGAACGTTTATGGCAAGTCAGTTTATAGAACTAATTTGCATAACAATTTCAATGCTGTGGTTAATTGTGGTACATTTCGTTATGAGGCATGCCGTGATTAGGAAGATGCTTGTCCGATCTTTAGAAATTTACATGAATGGGTTATCATGTAATACTGGAAATACTTAATTGAATTGTTGATCAA